CCTGGGTGTGGGTTGTGGGCCAGGGGGGCCGGCGGTGTGGTTGAATTTTCGTGCAGCAGTTTTAGAGCGGGGCTAGCCGGGGGTGCTCGGGCGGGGGGTGAGTTGGGGTGAACTTAGGGCGTGCAGGGGGGGTCGAGGTGTTTGGGCGTGGCTGTGGTGTGAGGGAAGGGGGGGGGGGGGGGGGCGGGATGTTGGGCGGGGGCGGTGGGTGGTGGAGGCGTCGGGCGGGGCGGGTTGGAGGGGGCCGCGCGCAAAGGGGATGGGGTGGGGGGGGGGCGTGGTTGCTGTTCGGTGTGCGGGGTTGTGGTGCGTTGTGTTTTTTTTTTTATTTTTGTTCGCTTTCGGTTAAGAGGGGGGAACAAAATAATAAGAAAATAAGAAAAACCAGGGGGAATGTAAGGGTAGCGGGGAGGAGGGGGACGACCGCGCGCGGGGGAAACGATGATTGGGGGAGGGGGGGGTGGCGATGGGTGTGTGTGGGCGTAGTGGAGCCGGTTGCCGGGGTGCCACACGCAAGCGGTGCGCCACAGAACCTGTCCTGGCGCGGCGTACACCCCGCGCCACCAGCGCGTCCGATTAGGACTGGGGAAGGGATACGTCTGGGGACATTAGATACGGGTGGGGCGTGCGTAGCCCCCGTCAAGACTTGCAGCCCGGCGGCAATGTCCGCCCCGGCGAGCGAAGGGCAGGCCCCTCGCCCGGTGTTGCCGTGTGGTTGTCGCGGGGCGCTATTGGGGGGACTGCTGTGTGGTCGGGAGCGGCTATCGTCTGGGGCATAGGTGGGTGCGCGTGGTCTGGCCGGGGCTACTCGCCGCGTTACACGGAGGCCCCGCCCGCGTCGGGGATGAAGCCGTGTTGTGGCGAGGGGAGGTGCCCGTACAGCGTGGTCTGGGCGTGGTGGTTGGCCGGCCGGAGTACTCTCCGGGCGTGCGGGGTTGAATGAATGGTCGTGGGCCCTTGGGGCCCGCATGGGCGGCCGTCGGCCCGTGGCGGGACGAAGTACGTGCGGCTGGGACGCTCTTGTGCAGCGAGGCGCTGGCTATAACGGTACAGGTGGACTTGAGCCCGCTTGCTGTGGTGGCGCGGGGGGAGTGGGCTTGTGGCCCCGCGGTGCGGGGGGGCATCGCCAGAGTCCATGGGTAGGGAGCTGTCTTCACATGCGATAGTTGCAAAACGTTTGGGATGGCAGGTTAGCCCCTGGGCTTAGTGTTTGGGCGCGTCTGCCGTGTTGCGGGGTGTCGTTTGTCGTTCCGTTTGGTGTTGCGCTTCGTGGGTGCTCTGTGGGGGGCGCCTCTTTGTTGTCGTCGGGCGTGCCGTTGTTTGGTCCTCTCGTCGGGGGCTGTGCGTGTCTTCTTTTCTCTGGTGTTGGTTTATGTGTGTTGTCATTTTGTTAGGTCTGGGTTGAAGTTTTGTTCGGTCTTTTTTGCTTTTTTTGTTTTTTTTTATTCGTTGTTTTTTTTTCTGATGTTTTTTGGTTTTTTTTGTTGGTTTTGTGTTTGGTTTTTTTTTTTTTTTGTGTTGTTGTTTTGTTATACTTGGGTGGGGAAAAAAAAATGGATGGTTACTGATGGACCAAGTAAGCTGGACAACAGCGGGAAAATCCAGGGGTGGGTCTTGGTGAACCCAGCATATAGGGGGCTTTGGGTCAAACCACATGTCATACCTATGTGACTGTCATTGTTGATTGGCCTGTCAGGTACTCGATTGTTATGGGGGACGGAGGGACATTTGTGCCAGGTGCTGAAAGGCTGGACGAGGCAGACACAAAGGCAAAGGGCTGGTGGGCTCTCAAGGTTGAATGTTCCTCCCCCCCCACTCACTCCCAAACCCATGGGGACCTTGACTCCCTTCCTTCAGGTTGTTGAAGGAAAACAAAACATTTCCATCCTACACCAAACCAAGCCCAGTTGGAAAATAGATGGTCCTAAAACACGTCTTTCATGCCCAAGCTGCCCACGAGGTTTCAAAATTGGTCCGGTCACCCCATTGTTCCAAACCCAGTAGGGGGATTTGTTAACGATTATGTTTTCCATGAAAACTGGGCAGGGCCTTTTACGAGTCGTTTTTCCCCACTGTGGGGCCACATCTGTATATCATATTTTTGTTTTGAGGCTTGTGGAGATAAAAACTGGTAATGGACTACCTCAAGGCAAACATGGGTGATTGCCTGCCGCGGAAAGGGCGAAGTGTTTGCTGTTATCTGAGATGGTTTGGGGTGGCAGTTTCACGACTCTGCACTGAAGTAAACAATCCGGGGACCCCCCAATTTTGCTCAGTGCAGGTTGCTGTTTGCTGGTCTGCAAGAGGATCTGCAACAGGTTGGGGGAAACTGGTTCACTCAGACATTAAACAAACCTGAAGAACATTATGCTAGTGGATCAGGCCAGGTAGTGGGTACCCATCTCTCCCCCTTTCTGGGCAGGTTAGAGTGTTGTGTGAAAAGGCGGAGCCCCCCTGGCAGGGTGGGGCAATTACCGTTTGTCAAGGGTCATGACTTTCGGCTCCGGCGCCTTCTTGTGTCCGCCGGCCAATTGCCCAATCTATCTCCCCAAGGGGAGGTCGATAAGATCGGTCAAGGAAAATCTGGGCCAGACCTGCCAAGCTTCTGGACCGTCTTCCTCACACACCAGAGCTCCGGGGGATCCTCATAAGTCCTTTCCATACACGGAGGCCATAGAACAATGTGGAGTTTTGGGCTGTGGTTCTAGGCTGGGCTTGCAACTTACCTAGGGGGGGTGGCCACCTCTCCCTGGGTCTGTTTTGCCGTCCCTTGGTGTCTCCCTGGACCAACATTGTGGTTTACTCCGTTGGCAGGTTGTTCCATGAGATGGGACCAAAATATACATTTTCATTGTGAGAACCCACGGACCAACCTCCTTCCTGTTATTTGCTGCGCACTGGGTACGGCAAGGCCGTGCAAGTTTCTGTATATCTCAAAACTTCCACACTTACACTTTTTGAACAAGTTGGCATAACGTCACAAACCGTGGTGCACGTGTTTCTCGTAGTAACTCTCTCACCACGTATATGTAAACACTTCCCACCCCTTACAGGGTCACAACCAGGCCAGGCAAAATAACTAAAGGCGGGGAGTATGGAATATAGTTCCAAGGGAAACCACGGAAATTAAAATTTTCCATTCCGACTTTCGGGACATTGGGAACCAAGGCCTCAGGTAGGTCATGGAAAAGCACAAGCACAAGTTAACTAGTAGAGCAAAACTTGATTGTCTCTCCCTCAGCCTCCACCCACTAGCCCCCCCACCATAATGCCTTCCTCTTCCCAGGCCCCCAGCTTATAATAATCTAGCCACCCCTCTTAGGTTTGTGTAGTTGGCTGGCAAATAAAAAGCATGCACTCTACCTTTGGACCCTAGAAAGAAGGAAAACTTTGGCCAATCGTCCAAGGCCCTTTGCCCAGCGTCTAACCCTAATTTGGTTTACATGCATCATTGGCAGGCCCACCCTCAGGACCTCCAGTACTTTCATGCCCTATTTCCTCATGGTGTTTAAAAAAACTATTGAATTCCTTTCCTACCCGTTCCTGCAGAGGGACTGGATCCGTGTAATCGCATTGTCTGTCGGGCATTGTCTCGAAAGGAACCCAACCAAACTCGTCCCCCACCAAACAACCCCAACAGTTGCCTTTCTCATTAGAAAAATGTCAGCCATAACTCCCTCAGTGGATTGGCAACCCTACCCCTCTTTCTTTTTGCACCGGTGCGTCCTGCCACCCCAACTGGTCCCTTTTCATCTCGTCTTTCTCATCGCAACCACAGGCTTGGACTTCACCATATATTTATGTGTTCCCATCCCATCTCTAAATACCACCTCCTCCCCTCTCAACCTTACTTTTCCTCAACACACTACTCCATTCCTACACCAGAAAGAGTGAGTGCCCCTTGCCCACCCTCTTCGTTGAAAAAGCCTCCGTTGCTGGGGGGACTGATTCTTTCCCCGGCCAGGCTTCCCTCACAAGTGGAGGGGACCGGGGCCTGGCCTCAGCAGGACAGAAAGCAACAAACTCCGCACCCATTATGGCATGGTGGCGGGGGGACCACGCGGATGGTTCCCATACTCTGGTCTCCATGGCCTGACCAAAAACCCCACAGCCAGCCCCCCCTTCCTGCCTTTCCTCTCTCGCAGGGGGGGGCAACAGCCAAAAACTGTATTCTTCTACAGTGGGCGGGAAAAAAAAACACCCACACCCTCCACCATACTCCCAGGCAACCCACAGTTCCCACCTTCACCCCAACACCACCCCAACACCAACCCCTTTAGTCGCTCCTGACAGGGACCAGTTTCATTGGTGGTGGTCTAGTTCCATGTTGTGGTGTGGGCCCATTGTTCATTTGGGACAAGGCAGCAGATCACTTATCGGCCACTATTGTGGCAAAAACAAACTCATGTAAAAAGGTGGCATTAATGAAATTGGAAAAAAACTTAAGGGTGACTTTGGTTGTCGTTTTAGGTTTTTTTGTAGTTTTTGTTGGAGAGGAGGCCTTAGGGGGGCTGTTTTCTCCTGGGGCCTTGCGCCCGTACTCTCTGGGAGGGATCCACGGGCAGATGAAATGGGCAGAGGGGGAATCCTAGAACATGCAAGGTGTGTCAAAGGAGCCATTTGGGGAAAAAATGAACACGACATGTTGGCTAAAAATTATAAACACACCTTGAGCTGTGTGGTTGCACCTTCCGAAGCCAGGGCAGGTAGGCCGTGGGGTATTGTCATATGGTCTTGGGTCCAGTCCACCTGGCAAAACCACACCAATAAAAACCTTGCTAGTGTGGCTGTCTCTTGTCCGTGAACGACGATGATCAAACCTACTGTGTTCCTTGGGTTTTTTGCACAGGGAAAAAAACCCAAAGGGAACAGAAATCAGGCAACAGTTGGGCCAGCACCCAGCCCCAGCCCGGGACATGTGGGAAGAGAAAAAGGAAAATGTACTCCTTCGCCCATGGAAGATATAGTCTTAGGACTTTATAGTATTACTAGTAACCCTGCAGTGGACAAGATCCTTCTTGAATGGGGTTGGTGCCTTGAAAAGGTGAGTGTAGCCGAAGTGGCATTCATCACAGCTCGTGGTTTGTCCCATTCCCTGGAATACGTCTGAAAGACATAGTTCAATGAATGAGTGGAACAAGAAGAGTGCTTCTGTTATACAGTGGCTGAACCACCAATTATAAAAACTTAAGCAGGTGACGGGAATGTACCTGGAAGATTGGGCTGCCACAGTAAATGTAGACCCACAGGTGAGGTGAGAAGAAACACATGATCATAACAAACCCCAACCAGGGCTTGAGTGGTGCAGTAATGCCAGGCTTCCCAACCCAGCTCTGGTTGGGTCAAGCGGGAAGAGTAGCTCGAGTGTCTGGAGGAGAGACAGAGAGCGAGTCTGGTTGTGAGAGAGTGGCAAGAGGAAGGGCAAAGGCTGACAAGGCTTTAGGGAGGGCCTGGATCACCAGTCGAGGAGAAGAGGAGGGTTGACAAGGTTAGAGAAGCAACGCCTTGTGGTTCATCAGACCCACACAGTTGTCCACCCACGGACAAGTGGTGGTCGAACCTGGGGTAATTACAACGAGTCCTGGACGATGATGTCTGTTACAGGGAGACAAGTTACCTGGCAACCAGTGCTTGCAGGCCAGCGCAGGGTTTGAGCGAAGTGGTCTTCTCAAGAGACTGTGGAGCAGAAGGAGTCCCGCTTACTGAACAAGCCTCTCTCCACAACAACTCAGCTATGGTCTGGGGAAGCTGGATCTGAGAATGGCGGAGAGCAAGTTTAGTTTAAACGTCGGCTCCCCTCTCTTGGCTCAGTCGGGCGTGTTTCTGTGGATCCTGCTCCAGGGTCAAGCTGTACTCACCGATGAGAATGCCCGACCTCCCCGATGATGAACAACCATTGACAGCTGCAGATATGGACATCGGCACTGTTTGGAGGCTGCCGAGACGTCGGGTGGAAAACCATACCCACCCCCTGAACAGGGAGTGCGTTTCCCTTAGCAGATTTTTATGTCGAGTACGAGCTCCCCAGGGGTCTAAAGTATGTCATGGCTGTGTAGTAGACACACAGTTTTGTTCCATCACCAGACCACAATGCTAGGGATTGGTGTCCATAAGAACAGGCACATACGCGACTGTGAGAGATGGCAGTAAAAGTACGGAGGGTATATAAGTAGGTTAAATAACTCACAAGAGGAAAGTTCTCATCAAGTAGCCAATAGCTGCGTGCCTAGGAGATAGCTCCCACGTTTTGGAGCCAGCTGCCCAGGTATCCCACGGCAACCAGAAATACAGTAGGAGCACAGAGCATGATCCACCAGACCACCCTCTATAGGAGGAAGGCACATGAGAGATGACACCCTCCACTAAGAATATACTGCTCACTGGTTGCCTGGTGACCAGTTCTAAGAGTCCTGAGCTCAGCTTTGCTCCTCCCCATGGCGATGGTGTCCATGGCAACATCTTGTTCTGAGCCTCCATATGCTACGTCATAGGGAGTCTTCCCCTGTCAGAGAGACACACCAGGGAGAAGGTGGCATTCAGTCCTCACCCCTCGGGCACATACGTACTAGCAAAGGTTACCGTAATGTTGACTATAGTGGTGAAGATTATTCAAGAAGGTTACTAGACTAGCAAGAGAGTAAATTGAAACTCATAGCGGCCATCAATTGGCAGTACCACGCGTGTGTATGTGTTCGAAATTGACAGTGTGCTGAGGGTTTCCTATTAGTAAATACGCACCTCTTTGTTCCTGAGGTTGAGAGGAGCACCAGCAGTGACCAAGTGCTTCACTGCCAGGTAGTTGTGGTTCTCCGCCGCGTGATGCAGGGCCGTGCAGTGGGCATGGTCAACAGCATACAGGTCGGCACCCAGCGACGTCAGCAGGCGCACTGGGTCTGGGCTGGACAACAGAGTGTACAGTAGCTTTCACTTTCATTTTGAATCCTGTCATGCAGAAAACTCAGTTGTGTGCTAAATGACATGGCCCCCAACATTTAAAAGGGAGAGAAATTCCCAATAACATGTACAGCAGAGTAAGGGGTGGACCTGGATGCAGCTCTGTCAGCAGCCAACATGAGCGGAGTTCTTCCTCGGCTGTCTCTGACGTCAATGCTCTGCAAATGAAAATGTCAGACAAGTGACTGGTGTAGACACAGCTCTTGTTACCATGGGAATGTGGCAGGTGATGTAGTAGGCGACAATGTTGGTGAAGCCAAACTGTGCAGCAATGTGGAGGCAGTTGAGTCCTGGGGGTGAGGAATGGAATTCAGCCCCAGAGGGAAGACTTACCCTCAGCATCCAGGGTCTCAGGGTTGGCTCCGTAGCGGAGAAGAAGAATGACCATGGGGAGATGGCCTTGTCTGGTGGCCCAGTGGATGGGAGTAGAGGACAGCTCTCCACCTGCCACATTGGGGTTTGCTCCCTTCTGTAGGTGCGGGTACATATGTGCTTTGAAGGCTGAGTAAAGAGACCTCACCTGAATGAGGTAGGAGGCAACAGCGATGCGGTTGTTAATGGCTGCCCAGTGGAGGACAGTGATGTTCTCGTTATTCCCCTTCGTGACATCTTCCCCACACACCTCCACCAGGTGTCTGCTTCTACACGTACACACAAACACTCTCTCCCCATCCTCACACCAGTCACCACCCCAACTTACCTCTCCAGGTTCCCGTACTGCGCCGCCTCCACCAGAGAGAACGAGTCTGGGTCAAGTCCTGCCCTTTCTCCCTCCGCCGCTGGCTCCTCCGCGGCAGAGCTCTGTTGACGTCATCATCAGGACACAGCAGCTCTAGATGAGAGGGCTAACCTCAGGCTCTGCCTCTACTTCGCTGTCTAGTCGAATATCCTGCAGTTCTACACTGGTAGACATGGCCGCCCGTCAGATCTGCTCTCCGTACGTATGTAGTTAGTTGTCTTCCTGCCGCGGTGCTACTAATAACCCTTTCCTCACTGGCGCAAATTCGGGAAACGCTAGCGTTAGCACGCGGCTTTGGCTGGCGAAGGACGCTTTCCTCTGTTTCCGTGCGGCAGCTAGCTGGAACGGAGGGAGAAGGGATCATCCAGACTGGAGACGGAGTGCGAAGGAGAGGCTGGGGGTGGAGGGACGGGGTCGGGTAACGTGGAAATTGACGGAGACCTACTGGCCAGGTATTTCGGCCACTAGCATCGGCGCCTAACTCACTAGTTTTACCTCCACTGCATCCTGTGCAGGTTCAGCTGCCTCGGCACCACCGACAGAGATGTGCTCGTGAACGAACTCCACTCACTCTTGGGAGCACAACTGTCCAGGGAAGGGTGTGAATTTTTCTTAGAGATTGGGAGCTGGTAAGAAAGAGCTCAAGTTTTATAGTGCCCTAACGATTATCGTTTTCATAAGGAATCTGCAAGCTGCAGTGGGGGCTTATTACGACTTCTATGGTCCTGTAACTGTACCGACAATGGCTGCAAAGGACGTTACCCTGTTCCCAGGCCAGAGAGTCCCACCAAACACAGCTCTCAGCAAGACCTGGCGAGTCACTAACACAGGTATATTGCCCTGGCCCCCAGCCAAGCCTCACACAGTTTATATCCCCATCCATCCATCCATGCTAGGGACAGATGTTTGGCAGAGTGGAACCTCACTTACCCTGCAGTCGAGAAACATGTTGTATGGACCTTCGCGTGTTCTGCTCCCTGCTCTCAGCCCTGGTCAGGAGGCAGAGGTCAGCGTTACAGTGTACATGCATGTGTGTGTGTACATGTGTGTGTGTGTGTGCAGGTGAGTGTCAGTCTCTTGAGCCCGTCTGAACCAGGCCTCTACCAGAGCAGTTGGTGTCTGACCACACCCACTGGTGGACTCTGTGCTGGTATGTATGTCACGGAAGACACATACGCAACTGTATGTACATATGGACCATTGACCTCAGGTCAGTGTGTGTGCGTTACGGTGAAGGTGGGAGCAAGTGAAGAAGGAGAGCAAGAAGAAGAAATGGCTATCCTCACACAGCAACTGGCGGCCTTCTCCACCTCAGATGAGAACAGTCTTCACCACATGTACCCAGTGGACACAGAGTGTGCGGGCAGCTCTCCCCCTCCTCCCTCTCCTGTCTCCTACTCACCAGTGGAAACGGAACTGCCTGTTCTCTCTCACTCTCCACCTCAACCCTCACCTCAGTGTGACATGGAAGAACAGCCATCCTCTCCACTATCATCTACACATCACTTTCACCCTCCATCTCAGCCCTAGATGCACTTTCGCACTATGAACACACACATTCATTACTGCTGAATAAGTAGCGCTAGCGCCCATTAGTCATGTGCCAGACATAGTGGCGACAGTCCCACGCACGCTAGAGGGTTTGCAAGGCCAGAGTCAGTCCCAGGTGTGTTCTCTAATAATATATACCAACAACGACTCCCGCTACTTTGGTCTGTTGAGGATGGTAGCACTGATCTTGGTCACCCTGACTCTGGCGTACGCAGCAGTAGGTGCGTTGGGCTGAAGACAAAAAAGGGGAGGGGCTCATGTTCTCGTCTTGCTTCTAGGTGGCGGTCAAACGGAGGACTGCCTAGAGACCGTCGTCGTCTCCGCAGATGCAGTAGAGACTGTCTCTGATGGAGTAATTTGTTTCCAGTGCGACGTTGGAGCTGGCATCGTTTCCAGCGCCTCCTACACCGTGTCCGGCTTGCCTGTTGGCAGTGACGCCGGGGGCACTGTCGAGGGAGTGCTAGTCCTTTACAACTCCGGTAGTGTCTTCCAACCATCTGCGTTTGTCGGTTGCGCCAGTGGAGGATCGTCTGCTACTGCGCTGGTGTTTCTGGAGGAGTTTCAGCCTCCACTGATCAGTGGGAATGCCACAGTGAGAGAGGGACACACTCTCGTTCTAGAGTGCGATGCAAGCAACTCGCATCCTCTGCCAAGCGTGGCTTGGTTTTCACCTCAGTCACTGCTGCTCAGTGGCGAGAGACGCCTTGTGATTGGAAATATCTCCAGAAACCAGGCTGGACTCTATTCCTGTGTGGCAACTGACTCTAATGGAGCTACTGAGTCCAGCAGAGTGGCAGTAACAGTGGAGTGTGAGTTTGCCTATTGTCCTTGTCCCAAGGCACATGTTAGTCCACATTTCCTTCAGTTGCTCCTGAAGTAATCACTTCATTCACTGGTGTGCAGTACTTCCCTCTTGGAGCCACACTTGAGCTCTACTGTTGGTATGAGTGTGTACCATCTCCACTGTCAGTGAAGTGGTATCACAATGGAACTTTGCTGATGACCTCTGACTCCATTAGCATTGTGTATGATACTACCAGTACAACACTCATAAGAATGGGCCTGACTGAAATTGAAGGTGGAAATTATGAATGTGGTGTGGAGAACTTGGTTGGCTCTGGAGCAGTGGAGATCACCGTGCGGATCCAGCGTATGCATTTACTACCTGTTAATGTATGTGTGGATGACAAGGTGTTTGCTTTATGCACACAGTGCCTCCTTCTAGTCTGTCGGACCTTTCGGTGGTGTCCAGCTCAGCAGAAAGCCTTCTGTTAGTCTGGAGCATCCCTGAGTTCACTGGCTTCAGTTCTGTGGCTGGTTTCAAAGTCACTGCAACAGAGGAGAGCAGTGGCTCAGTCATAAGAAATTTGACAGTGGAAGGGCAGGTCACTTCCTACAACATCACAGGTCTCCAGCCCCTGCAGGCATACAGTGTGAATATAAGTGTCGGGAATGAGGCAGGACTGGAGGGAGAGCCTGCTACCATCTCTGCCAGCACTGCATCTCTTAGTAAGAAAAACTATGGATGGTGGTTGTGTACTAGATTCTCTCGCTGAGCAGGACTGTCGGCAGTAGAGCAGCTGGAGGTCGAAATAGTTAGCTCCACAGAGCTCTACCTCCAGTGGATGGTAGGTGGACTTCCTTCAGTTGAGCAGATCCTCTTAGTAAGTATCCTAACCATGTCACAGGCTCCTGTAACAAACCCTTCAACAACAGCGGCAGTACAGTTCTATGTTATAGACTACAAAAGTGATAGGGGTAATGAGGGATCCTCCATGGTGTCAGGACTCAGCCACACTCTGGGAGGGTTGGAGAAGGGGACAAACTACACTCTGTCAGTGGCAGGAGTGAATGAAGCTGGTGTAGGGAAAGCTCGACTGACTGACTCTGTTCAGACTGCAGTAGATGGTGAGCATTGGTTTGATAATGATTAATCACTGAACTCTGGTCCTTGCTCTAGCTCCCAGTCACCCTCAGCTCTTCAGTGCTATACCCCTCTCACCCTTTTCACTACGTCTAAACTGGATTGCGCCTGCAGATAGTGGAGGCATGTTATTTGAGGTAATGAAGCTAAAATTCTATTTTTTCCACCTGGCAGGCCGGCCACTACAACACTATACTCTAGAAGTACTGGTTGAAAACAACTCGGTTGAAACACAGACGCTGAATGCACTAAATAGTAGTGCTATACTGCAGGGACTGACGCAGAACACCTCATACGTGTAAGTGGAGGTTACGGTCATTAATGAAGCCATAGCTCCTAAATGCAGGTTGTGTCTGACAGCAGTCAATAGTGCAAGGTTGGAGAGTCAGAAAGGGAGAGTTACAGTTGTCACACTCCCTGTGGGCCAACCACAAGTACCAAACTCTGTTCAAGTCACTAATGTAACTGTCCAAACGGCAAACATTGTATGGGAGGAAGCGGGTAAGTATGTATGCATGCTGTCAACCAGCAAAGAGTGCTCAACTCAATTTAGGAGGGTATCCTGACTACTACATCATCCAGTATTCACAACAGAACCATTCAGTGGAGACAGTTCAAGTGGTTGCACCATATCACACAATCACTGGTCTTCATCCTCTCAGTCACTACACTGTGAAGGTTGCTTCGCACAATTATAATGGCATGTCAGATTTCAGCCAAGATTCAACTTTTGGAACCTTTGGTATGAGCAGTAAGAAATGTGATCAGAAATTATTTTATGAAGCTCCAGGCCAAGTCACAGTTGAGGGTCCAACAGAAGGTCTGTCTGGAGAACCCCTTTCTTTGCACTGTATGGTGGAGAGCATACCAGCTTCTCCCTCCCCACTCTTTGTGTGGTCTAGAGATGGAGGAAGTCTCCCAGCTACGAGTATTATCATCAATGGTGAGGATTGTTTGTTGTGGTTGAACTGGACTGCTGCCTTGTACAGGTATGTTAAGCCTCCCAGAGCCAACTCCTGCCGACACTGGTGTGTATGTATGTTTCGTTGCTGGTGTTCGTCGGCGACATTCGGTCTCAATTTATTCAAAGCCAAACTCTTCCACAACTGGTATGTAAGAAGTTACAACACTC